GAAAAAAAAACTTTACTCGATTAGGTTAACCTATAAAATATGAGTTAGAATTCTTAATTTATTATTTACACCATTCTTTTATGAAAAAGAATAAAAGTTATTCAAGTTAGTTTCAATTCTGTCATGAACACATAAACAATAGAGAAATCAAATCAAATCATATTGAATTCACTTAAAATTTAATGTGGTAGTTATTTGGGGTGAAATTGCATTATATATTAAATTTGGACTCCTTCTTATATCGTTGGATTAGGGCTTTGATTCTGAGTTAAATTCCACCACAAATTGATCATATACAGGTTTTCAATAGCTAGGCATAATAGATTGATTTATAAATTAAGATTTGTTGTTTATTAAGTACAAGGGTACTGCATATAAAATTTAAGGTTGTTCCAATATCATTTGGTTTGGGTTTCAATGATGGTGTTTAAAATTGCATAACGTATCAAATTTGCGTCAAGTTACAAAAATGTGTTTACTAATATTTATTTCAACCTATTCAATTTATTTTTGTTACATTTGTCTTTTTAGGAGTCAAATAAAAATTTTCATTAATTTAATTCTTCTATTTTATTTTGAGTCTTCGTATTGTCTATATTTCATACGAATTTGCTTTGCTACTCGTAAAATTATAATTGTAGTTTTTTTTTCTTGTTTTCATTGTCTTAATTATTCTTGAGTTACTTTATATATATTTGGATTGTGTTACAATAACCAGTGACTATGATTCATTGATTTTCACTTTCGAAACAATTGCAAGAAGGTAAGCCAAGAGGTAAAAGACGTAATGAGAATAACTGAGTGAAAAGCCTGAAATTGTGTGAAACATGTGTGTTATGAGGATATATTTTTCTTGCTAGTAATCAATTTTTACAGATCTTAAGATATCTGAAAATCATGAGTTCACAACACTGAAAGTAGATAAATCTTTTCAAAATGCAATTTTTCGCTTAACAACTTAAGTTTCTGACTAAGATGATGAAATACCTGAAAGATGAGATGGCTTTGATAAGACAATAAAATAGTGGGATGAATGGATTAAGAATAGGGGCTAATTGGTGAGGAAACCCTATTTATAGGGCTGCACAAAATGTTAAAACTAACTTTATTAATTTTATGGATGAAAACACAAATATAAATGATGATGACTATGACTTGGTGTTTATGGATAATAAAGATCAATTCAAGAGGAATCAAAGCTAAAATAATGTTAGTTGAGGTCAAGGTGGAACTTTCAACTTGAGGGAGAGCATCTTCCATATGTGTTTACATATACAAAACAAGGTGTATAGTTTAGTTATAAATCGTGAAAGTTTTGTTAATATAACTAGTATTACCTTTGTTAGTAAGCTAAACTTATGTATTATTAAACATAATAAACCTTATAGGTTGCAATTGTTGAATGATTGTAATAAGATAAAAGTGAATTGGCAGGTCTTAGTTTAGTTTTCAATTGAGAAGGATATTGACAAAGTTCTGTGTAATGTGATTCCAATGCATGCAAGTCATATCTTATTAGGAAGATCCTTGTAATGTGATAGGAAAACCAAGTATAATTGATTTAAAAATAGGTATTCTTTTAAGAAAAATATAAGAACATGCATATTTGCATCATTATTACCTAGATAGGTTTATAAAGACCAATTAAAATTGAAAAAGAAAAGTGAAGTTGCAATGGTAATACAACATGTAAGGCCACGGTTACCATGCAAAAATATGTAAGGAAATGGTAAGACATGCACATCTAAATTATCATCTGCTATTGTTTTTATACAATGTTGTTAGTGGTAAGTGCGTGCAAGAAAAGAGCTTTAAAGGCTTCAAAAAAAGACTAAATAATTGCCCATTATAACTATTGGTGGTGGTTCAAGAATGAATCATCTTAAAGAGAAAGAGAATGATACAATCCAAGCAAGGTCATATTTGGATTTTAGCGTAAAATTTTCTATTATCTAGTTTTACATTATCAAGCATTACTTTCAATTTGATTGTTAGATCAAGCTTAAATTTTTACAAATATTTTTAGACATGCTACTATACATGGGGTTAAAATTCTAGGAAATTCAATTTCAGTAAGGGATTATTTCAAAGGGTCATATTTATTGAACGAATCATGTCAAATCTATCAAATTGAACCTTTGTCTAATATGGGTCATATTATTTTGGATATTATTCTGATTGGGTTAGAAATTATGTATCTTTCTAATGATATAAGATAGGCCCATTAATTCATATGGACGAGAGAGAACAACATGTTTAAAATTGGGTCTAAAATTTATCAGCAAATTATAAAAATAAAAAAGATATTTTTTTCCTTAAAAATTGTGAATTCCATTCACTACAAGGAATCTTTAGTGCAATCAAGAACTCATGTCGCATCCTTTAGGTTATGTATTTTATAAAGATTCCATATCAAATAAGAAGAATTAATTGGTCAAAAATTAATTGTTCAACAAGGATTTTCCAACAATTATTTATCTTGGGTATTTTATTACCATCATATGCAGCAAAAGATGAAAAGTAGTTTTAGGCTGTTGTTTTGTTTATTTCATTATTTTTAAACTTTACTTTAATTAGTTTATGTTTTATTTAAATTAAGTACATGTTTGACCAATTAGTGTTGAGTTTTATTTTCAAGAGTTTAAATACTCTTTATAAACAAATATTAGGACTTGATAATACTATCTATTGCTATCAAATTTATTCAACTTGTGTGAAAGAGATTTTCACATTCTTTACTTCTCTAACAACTTAAATTAACTTATAAAAAATTACTATTTTTGTGATGTTTCCTTATATTTTTCATTCGTGAATTAATATTTATAGGGTGGAGGTTTTTATTTCAATAATGCTAGTGTCTTAAGATATATTTTAATTATGTCACACTTTTTTAAGATTTGTTACCACATAATCACAAGATTTACATCACCTAATATATATATATATATATATATATAAACCTTGTGATCACTTGTGAATAATTGATAGGGTATAAATATAGTAGACAACTGAGTTGATAATATCTATTGTTATCTATGGCTAAAGGTGCAAACTATTATATGATAATTTCTCTTTAGGGCTCATGTATCAATTATCTTTTGATTTTTTTAATCGAATTCTAATCTAATTTGATTACAAGGCAGATAAAATTTATCGAGTTTAACTGGAGTCATACGTGGAGGTGGGTAAATGGTTCATCGACTCAACCTTACTATTTTTTAATCTTGTGGAGTCTTAATTTTTATTTTTCAATATATTGTGGGTTTTTATCTTATTGTTTATGAATGATTTTTATGATTTAATGCATAGCTTTAAAGTATACTCTATTTATAGTTTCGTGATTCATGGATGGATGGATGGAAATATAACTCTCTCTTATTCAAGTTTAGATTTTATTTTTAAAAATTTGATTAAAAAAATAAAAAAGGTCAAATTGGGTACCTAATTGGTACCCATCGAGTGCATAAAGTTCTTCAAATAACTAATTTGACTAAATTGAAGATGAAGTCACATGATGGATTTAGATACTTTGGATTGTAGTTGGATGGGTAGTTGGATGGAGTAAAATCGAACTCCAACTCAACCTACGACTATCCCGAATTAAGAGCATGCATTTGTTTATTTGTTTTATTTCAAACAAACCAAATTAAAGGCAAAACTGAACATAAATAGAATAATTTTTATTTTTTATGGTTTTCAGTCTTTTTTGTTTTTTTGAAAAAGAACTTTTTTTATTATAAAAAAAAAAAGAAATTAAGATGACAAACTTTAGAATGCTTAAATATGGACATGTAGTCTTAAAATACTAATATTAAAGATCCCAAAATAAAAAATTCATTGGAAAAAGGGAAAATACATTTCATCTTAAACCTAATAATGCTCTCTCTAATCACACTCCTAAGGAAAACCACTTTTCAGCTGAACTAATATTAGATGAGTGCTTTTTTTCTTTTCCAATTCCCTTTTCTTTTCACCTCCCTTTTCCATTTTAATGCCCCACAAATTTGCATGATGCAGTTATCTTTTCCAGCAATATCTACTCTCATTCCATTGAAATCTAGCTTGAAACTGGATCTGGCACCTCTATCTAGCCTTTCCAGCAATTTGCATTTTCTTGAATGTCTTAATTACAAAAGGGATAATTGCACTATTAATACACCAATTCTACACCTTTTCTTAATAGAGTACATGAAAATTTTTCTTTTTGAGCACATCGACTTCTTCAAAATTTTCAATCAAGTATGTTAATTGCATTGTTTTTGTTGGCATGTACTTTGGCATTTACCAAAGGAAAATTTCAATGTTGTTACATCAACTTTTAATTTTCCTCAATCAGCTAAGTGAACTTTTTATTTTTATTTTGTATTGGTGCTCAAACTTTTTGATTGTGCAAATCAATTACTTCTATAAAAAATGAAAAACCCGATGATTGTTTCCATTTATGTTGCAATCACAAGATTTTCATTTATATGATTAAAATAATAAATATTTTAATTGTATCATAATTTATTTGTTAGTTTTAATTAATTATAAAATAGTTTTTAGTTTTTATGTAGATGACTTGCTATTTGATGAAAAGAGTCTTAGGTCTTAAAAGGATTTATTTTAATTTTTAAAGCATTTATTTTAATATAAAATATTTTCATTTATTAGAAATAATCTTATTTTAGAGGGTACTTTTAGTAAAAAAAACCCACGTTAGAAAATAAAGCATTGAATAAAGTACTTGATTGAACATAAAATAAAAGTTGGGAGTGCCAATAGTGATTTAATGGAAAATGACATGCCATCAAATAATAGAAGAATTGACGGAAGGTGGACAAAAGTACTTAGTTGAATATCTTAAAAACGTTGGTGTCCTAATGTAATAGTGCAATTATCTCAATTACCAAATGTAGCCATAGGACATCGGTTTGGTGTCATCATTCATTAAGACAGACTATAGGTGTTGTAGTTCTAGATGAATTTTCTTTATTGGTTATGATGTGCGTGTTGTAGATAATGTGACAATTGATGTAAGCTAACAACTATTGCCTTTAGTTTTAGGTTTTTTGTTATAGTTTCCCTTTTAGTTATATTGAAACAATTGAAATTGGGTAGTGCTTGCCTGTAACCATTGATGTGGGGACACACAATGAGAATTTGTTAAACGATGAGTACTACATATGGCTCAGGCAAAGAAGGGCAACTGGACAGGTACTTAATATTTTCACTTGACTTGGCTAGTCTTCCTTTATGCATATGAGGTTCATTTACAGATTTACATAATTTTCTGTTGCATTGAAGTGGGATTACTCTTCCTTTTTTCCAGGAATATGCTGAACTGGTTCATGAATTCATGTCTGCAGTCAAGCAGACATATGGTGAGAAAGTCCTCATTCAGGTAGTTGACCTTAGGCATTGACATCAATGACTCTTGATGGGTTTTTTTTTTTAAAAAAAAACTTGTTTATGCCTATATCTATTATTGTATATGCATTTCAATTTTTCTTGAAACCTGCTTATTGAACTTTGCAGTTTGAAGACTTTGCGAACCACAATGCTTTTGATTTGCTTGCAAAATATAGCACAACTCATCTTGTTTTCAATGACGATATTCAGGTAATTCTATTTGTTTGTGATTATTTGAACAATTGGGATGGAAAAGACTCTAATATCTAATCACTTTATTTCAGGGTACAGCATCTGTGGTCCTTGCAGGGCTCGTTGCAGCACTAAGGGTAGTTGGTGGGACTTTAGCTGACCACACATTCTTATTTCTCGGTGCCGGAGAGGTGAGTTGATACTGGGCGGTACTGCATGATCCTCTTTCTGTGTTCCAATGAACTTTGAAATAACACTGGAAATCTGTATGTAACAAAGTGAGTTGACAAGGAAAAGGATAAATTCCTTGCCTTCAATTATGACAAAATATGCGTAATTCCTTTAGTATTGCACTCATCTTGCCCTTCTCCTTACCTTGCTCTTTATTTTCTATGTTGTCTGATTACAGGCTGGCACTGGAATTGCAGAACTCATAGCTCTTGAGATGTCCAAACAGGTCTGCTAGCATCTTCCGTTTTTTTTTCTTTTTTTTTTCACAATTTGCCCATGTATATGATTACTGACTGCATTAGATGTCAAATGGCTATAGGACAATTATAAATTATACCTGATTCTTTATGCAGACAAATATGCCAATGGAAGAGACTCGCAAGAAGATTTGGCTTGTAGACTCAAAGGCAGTGCAAACCTATATACTTCTAGCTGTTGGGCATAGACTGTTCCTTCTTTGCGTTTTATTTCTCTGTTAAATGTTCAAACAAATTCCCTTGCAGGGATTGATTGTTACTTCCCGCAAGGAATCACTCCAACATTTCAAGAAGCCCTGGGCACATGCGCATGAACTCATGAAGACACTTCTAGACGCTGTTAATTTATAACTCTCCCTCTCTGTTTCTGTTCATCTGAGCTTTCTCCCCCCATCTCGTAAGCAAAGGTGTCTTAAATCTTTTTTTTAGTGCCTTATGTCATCAGGACATCAAACCAACAATGTTGATTGGAACATCAGGAGTAGGAAGAACATTTACTAAAGAAGTGGTTGAAGCCATGGCTTCCTTCAATGTGGTAAATTTTTATCTGCTCATCTAGATTGTGTTGGAGAGCATGCTGCTCTAAGTAACCGTATTTTATATGACTGCGTGCAGAAACCTATAATTCTTTCTCTTTCCAACCCGACTTCACAATCTGAATGTACCGCTGAAGAAGCTTATACATGCAGTCAGGTAATATGAACAGCCAAAATGCAATCAATAAGAAATCATCATTATCATTATCAAAGGCTTCTCTCCCTAGGAAAGCCTTTTCTTATGGTTCTTGCTTGATGTATTGTCCTCCATTCATACAATTGGCTGTTTAACCATTATGACTAATAACTCGCCCCTTGTTACTTTTCAGGGGCGAGTTATTTTTGCTAGTGGAAGCCCATTTACTCCTGTTGAATATGAGGGTAAAACCTTTGTGCCTGGTCAGGTAGGTAGTCTGAAGAACTTGGTATCCTTTTAGTTTTACTTATTTGACAAATGAGTGGTTGATTTTGGTTTTTCATTTTTGCTTCCATTCAGGCAAACAATGCATACATTTTCCCTGGATTTGGTCTGGGTCTAATAATGTCCGGAGCCATCCGTTCACATGATGAAATGTTGCTGGCTGCCTGTAAGTGAATTAAAAATTTAAATGTTACCAATATCGCAAATTTTTATGTCCTACTTGCCATCACATGAAATAACAAGCTCATATAAACCATCTAGGTGGTGACCAAGTGGTAAGAACTTGGGATCAAGGGGTTTGCTCCCTCTGTGGTCTCAGATTCGAGTCCTTGGTTGCTCATATGATGGCCACTGGAGGCTTACATAGTCGTTAACTTCAGGGCCCGTGGGATTAGTCGTGGTACGCGCAAGCTGGCCCGGACACCCACGTTAATCTAAAAAAAAATAACAAGCTCATATATATATATATATATATATTATTTTGGATTGATCACATCATGTTTTTGAAATTTAATCTCATTATTCTTATTTGCGAACATTAGATTAATCTTATTTGCGAACATTTTGGGAAGAATGACAAGGGCATAACATAAGTAGAGCTTAGAGAAGTAACAGTACTGGTAAATCCATGAGCCTTCCCTTGTCAAAACGTTATATTCTTAACTTTAGGATTTTGTTTTGTGAAAAACTATCCACAAGCTTGATGTAGTTAGCTCAACTTATCAAATATGCCTCCTTGAATTCTCATACTAATCATCAGAAATGTTTCTTTGGCATCTGTTATACAATTTGGAAAAAAATTTCTCTCCTTCTAATTCTCTAGGTCAGGATGTTTAGGTAGATGAATATCAGGAAGAATTTATCCTTGAGTGTTCATTGGCGAGTGATTGCACTTATCTGCTGGTTTCTCTGGTACAGCGGAAGCTTTGGCTACTCAGGTGACCCAGGAGAACTTTGACAAGGGACTTATCTACCCTCCATTCAAAAACACCAGAAAGATCTCAGCAGAGATTGCTGCTAAAGTGGCTGCTAAGGCTTATGAACTTGGTGAGTCTTTTTTCGTTAGGATTCATACTTCTGCAATATGTTCATATGGATCTTTCTGTAGAGATCTAAAGATATAGTAATCTGAAAATAACAATAAGAAAAAGATGGAAATAATACTAATGATTTATCATATTATATTGGTAAATATCCTCAATTTAATAAAATTTTAACAAAGTTTTTATATATATATATATATATATATATGGGATTCTATCTAAAATTTTGTGCCACTAATTTCTGCATGGAAATTCAACACAACTTCTGCATGATAGCCTTACGTCTACGATTAAATCTTTACTTACAATTTATTCTTTCGTCACACCCTCATAATTAACACAATATACTACTCCTCATTCATGCATCCTATTTGATATTTAATATAACAGAAGGCATAATAAACGCAAACACCATAGTAAATACAAAAAAAAAAAAATTAAATTAATTATAGCTATAAAATGATTAACACAAATAAAATATAAAATCATAATATTCTGTTGAGTTGTATGTGATGGATATTATTTTTTTTTGAATTCGAGAAAACTTTATTTTTCAGAAAACACATTTTGTGGATACAGATGAACGAGTAAAATTCTGGCTGTTCGAAGCATGTAAGACCTGCTATGCAGATCTCAAACCCTTTCCATAACATTACACCTGCAATCATATAATAATTAATATTTGATTTCATAATTTAAATACAATCATAAAAGACATGGCTAATAGTTTTTTTATTATTATAAATATCTACATTATAACATTTGATTATAATTTCATTAATTCTCAATTTAATTATATTTGTATCCTCCTTTAATATTATTGGTTACGCTTTCAAACATCAAACTATGATATTATATTAATTTTTTGGTTTTTATATGAAAAGACAAACTATTCATTTCATTGATTTCTGTCTAAAATGATAGACTACTCATATTATTATTTTTTTTTATGTTTCCTTTCTCCGTGATCCTCTTTTTTGCTCATTTTCTATACCATTTCGTTGTCACTTTAATATACGATTTCATGTTCATTTTCTTGATATACCATGCCTGAAACATGGTTGATTGAAGAGAAATAAATGTTATAATTAAAAAGAATAAGGTGTATTGGCACCTACTTGCTTCTCCAACTCCAGCTAATGCGAGTCCCCCCAGCTACAGATGATTCAACATCTACCGCCTCTCCTGATCAAATGGAGCCTTAACAAAAACGAGTCTCCATTGATCATGAATTTATATGAACTCCTCTATTATCAGATGTTTAAGAACCCTATCTTCATGGAAGAACTTTATATTTTTACACTTAATACATGAATACATACATACATACATACATATATATATATATATATATATATATATATTTCTAGATATGGTATCATCTTTAAAATATGCAAACTGATTTATAATCAATCATCCATAATTATATATCTAGTAAATAAAATAATATATAAGAATTTCATTACTTCATGATTAATTTAATAATCTAATTAACCCACAACAACTTAATAATTTTATAATCTAAGCTCAACTGCGTAACTAACAACTTAACAAATGCATCAACCAAATAAATCCATAAAAAGTTACTTTCAATTAATTTAATTAATTTATCTTAGTATGTAAAAAAAACAACTATACTCAACAGAGAATTACACACACAACCAATTAATAAGTCAACAATATAAATAAATATTAACAACATAAATAAGATTCCAATATCAATTTAATAATTTAACCTAAATCACACACAACTGAATAAAATACCAGCATGTTTAAAAATATATATATAACTTAATTTAAAATAATCATCACAACAAATCAACATCCATTTTAACCAAAAACATAACATGGATTATAAAATTATTTTATTCCGCTGTGACGGGAGATAGCATGCCACAGAACGTTGTAGTAGTATATTGTATTCCGCTGTCTTTGACATCTCGTGGAGGCCCAACTAGGGCAGTTGACTTGTTTAAAAATGGAGGTTTTTAGATCAAAAATATTATTTTAATATTTGAATAATAACTTGGGAATATATATATATATATATATATATATATATAAACCTAAAACTCCTCAAAACTATTTTTCAATAAAATAGTAAAGTTATTTAAATCAATGAGAAATAAATACAACTAATTCGAAATTAGAAACCAGCAGAAACTTTTTTTTCTCTTTTGGCATGCTCATTCTAGCCTAGGAGTCCAAGGATATTTGGGGTCCCAGCAACCAATATGTTCACGAAAATTAGTCGCCCATTCACAAAAACCAACAGCACTAACTTGTTTAATCTGTGTTTATTATTGGAGGACAAACAATACTTGATTAATTATTGGATTCATTATATTAAAAATAAATCATACACATGAATGGAAATTATTCTCCTTTAATTTTAAAAAATAATTTAACTGAACAGGTTTTAAATTTATATTTTAATAATTATAAATTCAAGTTTTTTTAGAATAACTAAAAATTTATATGATTATTAAAATTCATTAAATTAATTAAGATACATATAAATTTAAATATTTATATTCATAAAAAAAAATTCTTTTGTTCTCTTTGAAGGGAACAAGGAGTCCGAGTCCTCTCTCAACTATGATCGAAAGTCATTGCTCCAACATGACACCCTTCTACTTCTTATGCCTTTTAAATGTCTGCTGATTGACGGAAATTAGCTCCACCTGGTCTCTCTCATTCTTATGCCTTTTAAATGTCTGCTGATTGACGGAAATTAGCTCCACCTGGTCTCTCTCATTCCTCCCTCTCCCTCTCTCGATGCAAAGCATGGACCACCATATGAATTTATAATTGATAAAATCAGCTGTGTTTCCTCCATGGACACTCAACTTCAATATCCGGTCTCAAATCTTCCTTTTCTTTCGTTGAATCACCATCAATATTTCGATTTCTTTTTCGCAAGTTTTTTTGTTTCACTTCATAGCTATTTTTGCCTTCCATTTCCTTATTTCTTGTTTGTATTTTGATGTTGCTGTGACAGAGGAGTGGGTTATGGATACAAGCCAAGTTTTTTTTCTTTTATTTTTGCCTAGTGCACTAGTTTGAGTTGATATGTTTTTTTAATAAAAAATACATTTATTTTCTTAATATATATATATATATATATATATGTATATATATGTATGTATATGTATATATATGTATGTATGTATGTATATGTATATATATATGTATGTATGTATGTATTTTTTACATTCATTAAGAATGTATTTTGGATACTATTTTATTGAATTCCAATTTATTTTTACTTTGTTTTTGTATAAAATTGTAGAGATATTTTTTATAATATTATCAACTATTTTTTTACATTCCATTATAATCAGTTTTTTTATATATTTTTTATTTCATTAGTTTACTGCTATTGCTTATTTTTATTATCATATAATTAAATAAAAAATAGTTATAGAAAAACAAATTTATTAAACCCATTTGGATTCATAAACATGATTACAAGTTTGATAGATTTACTAGGATTAATTTAATATATTATCATCTTAATATTTAAAAAAACACATCTTGATTTTTTTTATTCGAATTAGGTTTTTATTTTGCCTTTTGACTAACCAAATTCATCAGATGATATCAGATTAAACTCTACACGATTTAATTTAAAACTTTAACTTAACAAGAATTTTGACTCAAAGGTTTTAATGTTGGCCAATTGAGTTAGGTTTGATAATATTTTTAAAAAGTTCCTCACAACACACAAGCATTGTATTATTTTTATATTTTTTTAACACACTCACATTAAAATTATTAGAGTTTTATTTTTTTAGAATTGAAACCTGCTTTTGAAATAAAGATAGAATATTGTCTAAGAAACAAATATTATGGTGAAAAGCAAGACAAATAATTTTTAGTTTAAGATGTGTCTTTTTTATTCTTATTTTAAATCTTCATAATTTATTTGTATGTCTTCTAGATACTTTTGGTTTTTTTTAATAAATAACATAGAAAACACTTGTTAGAATTTTTTTTGTTTTTATTAAAGATATTAATAAGAAAAGAAAGACTTTTATTAGCAAAGTACTTTAATTCAATGAAATTTAAATTATTAATATTTTTAATAAAAAAATATTAGTGTCATATAATTAATTTAAAAAATTAAGAACTCTCCACAACATATAATCAAATATCTTTATTTATGCCTATTTATTAACTTGAGTTAATGTATAAGATTTTTTTGTTGCTGAAAAACACATTTGTAATATTTTGACATTCTTTTTTATGTAAAAAAAAATAATATTACCCATGTATAACATGAACTAATTATGTAGTTATATGATATTATGACTATACACCTTAGAGTTAGATGAACTGTCTTTTATCAACTTAGTAATATTATTATTAACAAAAACTAAAAGAGAATGTGAGTTCATTGTTCACCTCCTCACAATGCAATGTTTATTGAATTGTTTTTTTTAGTTTTTTTTTTAATTATTTTTTTTTAATTTTTGAGCTGATTAAGATTAAACTTCATAATTTATTTTAATTTATTTTAATATTTGAGTTATTATAAATTGAGTTTCATGATTTATTTTAATTTACTATAAGGTTATTTCTGTCTTATAACTTAGATCATAAGTTTGACAGATTAACCCTAGTTAACTTAAGGTATTTTTTGGTCTTTTTTAAATATTGAGTTTGATAGGGGGGCTAAACTTCATAATTTATTTTGATTTATTTTATATAGGGTTATTCCGGTATCATAAAATGAGTAATTAGTACTTAAAAGTGCATTTTTATCAAGGTTTTAATGATAGTTGATTAGTACTTAAAAGTGCATTTTTATCAAGGTTTTATATCATCATTTTGCACTTGAAGTATCAATAACTCCTTAACTAAAACATGTTTTATAATAATATATTTAATAATATAAGATACCTTTAATTTATGGTAAATGTTCATGTTAAATGCAGGCCTATCACATAAATGAAAGAATTGATTGATGAATTTAAGAACTGAAATTAGAAGGACAAAAAGATGGCCAAACTTAG